CACTTAGCTGACAGTTAACATATAACTATGAATTCACCACCTGCCTAACGGGGGTTTGGGGAGAATTAAATGAGAATGTAAGTAGAGACGCAGCATAGCGTACTGCCCATAGCAAATCCATAATACCCGTAGCTATTACACCTCTGCAATTGATGATTCCGACCACTTCTAAGGGATCTCATGAACCTGCCATACGTCCGTGACCTTGCTTTATACATATTTTCCTCCTAAAATGGAGTGGCTGCTTCTACCAAACTTTTGGTCCTTGATGGATGTGGGGTTACCAACATCACAGAGAGCAACCCTATTTAATTTCTGATGAGCCATAAAACCAGAATAAAACTTTTTGTAGTGGTATTAGCCTCTGCTATGACAAAGAACAGTCAATAGATAGGAATCAAACCATTTGTACTGAAGCTTGTTTCTTGGTGCCAGCAGTAATCCAATGACATGTTTTGTCAGGAAGTTCACTGTCAAAGGTAGACAAGAAGAAACATCCAGAGCATGAGGTTGACAGCTCAGTGTCTAGAGCCAGACTGCCTAGCTCCAGTTCTGTCCGAGTGTGTGACATTGATCAATTTGTGTGCTTCAATTTCCTCATCGGTAATATGGGAATGTTAAAAACAAGACAACATGGGGCCGGCGTGGTGGCGCAAGTGGTTAAGTGCGCATGCTCCGTTGCGGCGGCCCGGGGTTTGCTGGTTCGGATCCCGGGCGCGCACCGACGCACGGCTTGGCAAGCCATGCTGTGGCGGCGTCCCATATAAAGTGGAGGAAGATGGGCATGGATGTTAACCCAGGGCCAATTTTCCTCGGCAAAAAGAGGAGGATTGGCAGATGTTAGCTCAGGGCTGATCTCCTCACAAAAAAAAAAAAAAAAAAAAGACAACAAGCCTAAAATGGAGTCACTTGTGCTAAGCCTACTTCACCAAACCAAGACTTAATACCTAACTTAATTACAATGTCAACTTCTCCCAGGAGTGGAGTCTTAAACCAGTCAATCTGGAATTACCTGGTCAGCACCAGTGAGGTCATCTGCCTGATAGACCCCCTCTCATCCCCCACAGTCCCTGAAAGGAAGTGACCTTGCCTGAAACAATCCACTCTTTGCTAGTGTAACATCCTCGTCCTGCCTCCTCCTATCTATAAGTCTTTCACTTTGTACAGCTCTTCCGAGCTCCTTTCTATCTGCCAGATGGGATGCTGCTCGATTCATGAATTGTTGAATAAAGCCAATTAGATCTTTAAAATTTACTCAGTTGAATTTTATTTTTTTATTTTATTTTGGTGAGGAAGATTAGCCCTGAGCTAACATCTGTTGCCAATCCTCCTCTTTTTGCTGAGGAAGATTGGTCCTGGGCTAACATCTGTGCCCATCTTCCTCTATTTTATATGTGGGACGCCGCCACAGCAATGGCTTGACAAGCGGTGTGTAGGTCTGTGCCCGGGATCTGAACCTGTGAACCCTGGGCTGCCGAAGCAGAGCACTCGAACTTAACCACTACACCATAGGGCCGGCCCCTGAATTTTGTTTTTTAACAGGAATAATAGTAGCATTTGGCTCAAAAGGTTGCAAACTGAGTCATCTATGTAAATTGCTAAGAACAGTGCCTAGTATGTGGCAATATTCAACAGTTAGTTACTACTGTTATTCCAAATAATGTAAAAATAGAGAGTGGGGAAAAAACATTTAACTACAAAATAACAAATTTACTTAAAAACAAACTGTTTTTCAGAGTTTAGATATAGAGTGAGGGTGTGTCACAGCTGCAGGGAGGGGCAAGACAAGCGCAGGGGACAACAAGGCTGCTGCTGAGGATTGGCTCTTCCCTGCTTGGGCCTCCCAGCTCAGGCTCTACTGGGAGACTCCTGCCCTCATGGCAGTTACTGGAAGACGCTTAGCACACACTGGGGCCTGGACATTAGAAAGGACTGCCTCATTCCGAGTCAACCACACTTCTTTTCTGTTTTGGCTGGAGAGAAGGATTTGAGATGGGACCATTGGGCTTTCGACGTGCAGTTTTGATTTGTGGGACGGAGAACCATCGTATATCTACTGCTGTTGAGCAGGCACTGACCCAAACCGTGCACCATGAAAGTTAGGAACTGAAAAGTGTTTGGGGATTAATATCCAGCAAACGTAAAGGACTCCTATAGCTCAATAACAAAAAACCAAACAACGATTTAAAAAATGGGCAAAGGACTTGAATATTTCTCCAAAGAAGATATACAAATGACCAATAAGCACATGAAAGGATGCTCAACCTTACTAATCACTAGAGAAATGCAAATCAAAACCGCAATGAGATTCCATTTGACATCCATTATGACGGCTATTATCAAAAAAACAGTAACCAACAAGGAATAGTGAGGATGTGGAGAAATTGGAACTCTTGTGCATTGCTGATGGGAATGTAAAATGGTAGAGCCGATGTAGAAACAAGTATGGCAGTTCCTCAAAAAATTAAACACAGAATTTCCATATGAAATCAGCAATTCCACTTCTGGGTGTGTATTCCCAAAATAATTGAAAGCAGAGACTGAAACAAATATTTGTACAAACCCATGTTCATAGCGGTATTACTCTCAAGAGGTAAAAGGAGGGAACAATCCAAAAATGTCCATTGACAGATGAATGGATAAACAAAATATGGTACATATATTCAATAAAATATTATTCAGCCTTAAAAAGGAAGGAAATTCTGACACATGCTACAACACGGATGAACGTTGAGGGCGTTATGCTAAGTGAAATAAGCCAGTCACTAAAGGACAAATACTGTATGATTCACTGATTTGAGGTCCCTAGAGGAGTCAAATTCACAGAGACAGAAAGTAGAATGGTGGCTGCCAGTGGCAGGGGGGAGGAGAAAATGGGAGTGAGTGTTTAATGGGTGGAGTTTCAGTTTTGCAAGATGAAAAGAGTTCTATGGATGGACGGTGGTGATGGTTGCACAACAAAGTAAACGTACTTAATGCCATTGAACTGTTCACTTAAAAATGGTTAAGACAGGGGGCCAGCCCCATGGCTCAGTGGTTAAAGTTCTGCGTGTTCTGCTTTGGCGGTTTGGGGTTTGTGGGTTCAGATCCCGGGCGTAGACCTACTCCACTCATCAGCCATGTTGTGGAGGCATCCCACATACAAAATGGAGGAAGACTGGCACAGATGTTAGCTCAGGGCTAAAAAAACAGGAAGATTGGCAATGGATGTTAGCTCAGGGTGAATCTTCCTCACCAAAAAAAAAAAAAAAAAAAAGGTTAAGATGGTAAATTTCATGTGTATTTTCCACAATTAAAAAAAAAAGGAAAAAACCCCTAGTGTTTCTATCAACCTCATTGCAAGAAGGGCTTTGTTCAAAATTTCAGGTCAGTGTTCAAAAAAGATGTATTTAATGAACACCTACTAGTTCCTAAGCCCAGTGTCCCATGCTATGGGAGGGAAAGAAAGGTAATACCTACTTTTAAGAAGAAAAGAAGAGGAAGGTAAGACGAGATAAGACAAGGACCTTGAGAACTAAAATGAAAAGGCAGAATGGCCTAGAAAACTTACCAGAGATACATGCATAGGGCTCAGGTTTTAGAGAAAGAAATCAAATGTCCTCACACCCAACACGAGATTTAAGGGACAGAGGGAGGAAGACATTGAAACACAACAGGCCACATAAGAAATTGAAGTTAACACCTATGGAAAAGAAAATCTTTGGAATGATAGTGTAGCGTAGGGGTAGAGGAAAAAAAAAAGAGAAAGTTGGCTGCTATAAATGAGACATCTTCTAGAACAGTTGTCTAATAAGAGAATTACTAAAATACAGCAGAGTTGAATCCACTCAGAACCACCAACTACAACCAGTGTCTCCTGAAATGTAGTTTTCCAGCAAAGTTTTTGCCTTTTAAAGAATATCCATATTATCCACACCATGATCTTCTCCACAACACAGTAGGACTATTCCCAGAGAACCTGGACAGAGGCCCCAGATCAGCATCTGTAGGTGTCAGGATGAAGGTGTTAGAGGAGGAAGACCTGAGAGGGAGGAGGCAATTGGGAGGGGCGTGAGCCTGAGGGCCATTCCTGCTCTTTGCTTCTGTACATGGAAGGCTGTCCTGGATATTACACCCGACATAAAAACAGAGGCTGCGCTCACTTGAAATGCAGCAAGATTTATTTTGGTTTCCTTCATTGTTTTGGGAAATTGTTTTGGTTTATAAAACATAGAAATAGCCAACACTTAAAGCAAACATTCAAAACCCCAATGTGACAAATTATTGACTTTTTGTGCAATTAAGAATACACATATGAAGTTAGGCTACCAAATAGTGTTATTACAACGACAATTCTTTAGTGCAAACCCTGTTGTGCTTCTATAATACATATACTCTCACATATCCAAAAACAATTGCTTTAAATATACAAATGACAACTTAATTCAGTCACATGTGGCAAAGACTTGCAGTAAAGTGAAATGCTGCTAATTTCCCAAATTAACTTTAAAAAAAAAAAATCTCTGGGGAAGTTAATCCCAGGAAACGAGTTTTCCAGATTTCTACACCCTAGAATTTTGGCTTGTCAAATACGTTTCACAGAAATCAGGTAGCATTATGATAGAAGAGTATTTGTTTATTACTGTCCATTTCAATAAGTATCCAAGTATATCCATTCCCTTAATATTTTTAAAGACATGCCTTGCCTGAGAGTTTATTCTGGGGAAAAAAGCCAGTTAATCACAACATGATCTTTTGATATGAAAACCACATTAAAAATCCGTTAGCCATCACAAAGATTGACTGGTTCAGTGAAGATAAAGTGGACTGTTATTTAGGCGTCACAGTTGAGCATGGCTGATTTGGGTAATTATTTCCTTCTTGAAATGCTTGTCTTCACTGTAGAGTCTAAGGCAGATCTTTTTAATAACCCCTGGGAAGGGATGGAGGGAGTCCCTCTGGTGAGAGGCCATTCATCTGAGACTCAATATCTGCACCGTTCTGAGTTGGGTCTGTCCTTCGCTTCACTGGGAACCTTCTGCGCCAAAGGAACAATAGAGGACTGTGGAGAAGGTCATGGGTTTCATAACCCTTAATCAGAAGGGTTGTGAGAGTGCATATGGGATGGGGAAGGCAAGGTGGCAGGGATTGAAAACAAATCTCTGGTCCACTTGTGACGTTCTCCAGCTGGGACAATTCTTTTTAAGGGACAGTGTCCCTCCAGTGCACTGTACTCTTCAGAGCAGCAGACAACTGCAGAATTTTCAGCAAGCAGCAGACATGTCAGAAATAGCAAAGTCCTAATCCCTTGGCTAGAAAAACAGGGAGACAGAAGTTTTCACACCCCCCTTTTTAACTGAGCAAGTCGAGAATAACTTAGCACATTTATAGTTTCCTCTTTACAATTTTTAAGGCTCGTTTTGGAAATTGTGTATCACCATAAACATGGTGTGCAACACGAGGTGGCTGTAAGGCAGTGTTCCATTTCCTCTAAGATTCCTGTGACGTGAACCCCCAATGCATAAGTCAAATACGGACATTCCCTTCCCTAGGCTTGCCGTCTTCAAGATTACCAATGTGAAGGCCATCAGGAGAAGAGTGGGAAGGGGTGTGGTTTTGGTTTCTTCTGAGCTTTCTTCCTCATCCTAAACTTTGATGGTGGAATAAAGTTCATCTATCTGTGACCTGAAATAATTCCGAAGCTCTACCCTTTTAGCCTTCATTGTTGGGGTCAGAAGGCCGTTGTCCACAGAAAATAATTCAGGGTGAAGAGTAATGCCTTTGACCTGCAAATAAACAAGGCTATTAAGGGAGGAAAGAGGACAGAGGCAACCTGAGTCTAAAAAGCACTTAAGGCACTGAAAGGGATAAAGGCTCTTATGGGTGATCCAATCCTTTCTCTCACCACCAAGGGTGGTGGCCTATTCTTAGGATACAATTCAGGATTGTATCCTGACCTCCAGGACAGGAGAATTCATATCCTTGATTAAAGAAATCCCTATCCCGGCCAAACCACTCCATTATTCATTCCTCAGGGATTTCTTTTTTTTCTTTTTTTGGTGAGGAAGATTGGCCCTCAGCTAACTAACATCTATGCCAATCTTCTTCTATTGTATGTGGGTCACCACCACAGCATGGCTTGATGAGCGGTGTGTAGGTCCGTGCCTGGGATCCGAACCTGCAAACCTGGGCCGCTGCATTGGAGCGCACGAACTTAACCACTACACCACCAGGCCAGCTCCCAGCTCAAGGATTTCTTTAGGCCATCTCATCCTCTTCTATAATCTATTCATAAAAAAATATTCAAATCCAAAACTTCTTTTATGCCCACTCATGCACTTTTTTGTTTTGTTTTGTTTTGAGGAAGACTGGCTCTGAGCTAACATCTGTTGCCAATCCTCTTTTTTTTTTTTTGCTTGAGGAGGATTAGCCCTGAGCTAACACCTGTGCTCACTTCCTCTACTTTGTATGTGAGACGCCACTACACACGGCTTGATGAGCGGGGCATAGGTCTGCGCCTACGCCATAGATTGAACCTGCGAACCCTGGGCCACAGAAGCAGAGCACGTGAACGTAACCACTATGCAACCGGGCCGGCCCCAGAATTCATGCACTTTGATGCAAGTCTTACCTGTTCAAATGGTTTTAGGCCAGCATCCCTCCCAAGTTTCACCATGTCTTCTAGGATAGCTTTTTTGATATCCTAATAAAGTAAGAAAAATAAGACACTTTCTGTGTTGGAGGTCCCTGCCCTTTACACCTAATGCAAAGTGAAGATACAGAAGGCAGACAGCATACATCAGAACCTCACCTTGTTTCTGCACAGTTCTTCAAAGGATCCTTCAAATCCTTTTTTTTGGGCCCATGCACCTAGTGTCTCAGCATCTGGCACCACAATTGCTATGAGAAATGCCTTTAACACAGACAAGTGAGTTATTACATGGCTTGTTCCAGATGGTCTCAAATAGTGGTTCGTTATTGTTCTGCATTGTGGACCCTTGGGAGAATCTGATGGAAGTTATAGATCCACTCTTCAGAACATTTTACCAGCCCCAGGAGTCCACGGGGCCCATGTTAAAAACTCCTGGCTCTAAAATACAGACAGCATCAGGAATTTTGCAATAAATGTTTTAAAAGAAACACTGGGAATCAAAATCTAAAAAAGCCCTAATTTTCACTCACTTTTGTGTGTGTGTATATATATATACACACACACTTTTTTTTTTTTTTTTTTTGGTAAGATTAGCCCTGAGCTAACATCCGTTGCTAATTCTCCTCTTTTTGCTGAGGAAGATTGGCCCTGGGCTAACATCCATGCCCATCTTCCTCTACTTCATATGTGGGATGCCGCCACAGTATGGCTTGATAAGCAGTGCATAGGTCCATGCTCGGGATCCGAACCTGCAAACCCCGGGCCGCCGAAGCGGAGCACACAAGCTTAACTGCTACGCCACTGGGCCAGCCCCTATGTATATATATTTTTATAAAACAGGGTCAAATAAACAAAAAAGGTGATAGATATCAGATACTTGCTTCAAAAAAAGAGAAATAGAAAATGTATACAGATTCACTTTTTAAAACTCACCAACACCTCATTCTTTACAATTTAGTAACAATAAAACTAAATAAATATCAAAGGTATGGTAAGATTATAAGTCAAAGAAAAATAGGTGTATTCTCTCATAAGATAAGAAAATCTTCTTCTAAAATTATTTAAAATCTCAAGACTTGTAAAAAAGATTAACCTTCAGGAAACCAGACCCCATTCTCTTCCTTGCCACTATCTGTCCAACATTTCGGCAAACAGACGTTTTACTGCAACATTGATCTTGGTTTTCAGCTTTAAGTATATGTTGGCTTACAACTATGCTCAAAATGATTTAGGAGGCATAGCAGAAATAAGTTGGGTTTAATATGTTTGAAAACTCTAAACTTCCTTATAATCCATATATCCATATTTTCCCTCATAATTAAGTTAGAAGCATATTTTTACTCTCCCACCCTACCCTCACCAGTATTTTTATCCAACTTTGCTTGGTATACCAGATCACTCTAGTTAAAATAAAAACATAGAAATTAAACAGAAAAAATTTTTCTGGATAAGAAATGCCAAGCAGCAAAAACCAGTAACGTGTCAATAATAATCCAGCATGTCAGATGTGAAAGTCAATTCATACTCATGGCAAATTTGCCGTCCCATTTAAAGCCCCTGGCAGACTAGGCACCTGCCCTGCCTGTGCAACAGAGCTCACCACTTACAAAGCACATACCTGCAAGCTTTCGCCGTGGACAAACACCTGAGCGACAGGTTCACTCCGTATGTAGATGTTCTCAATCTTTTCAGGTGCTATGTATTCTCCTTGGGCCAGTTTAAATATGTGCTTTTTCCTGTCGATAACCTTCAAGGTACCATTCTGTTTATCAGAGGGGAGGGGGCTGTGAGTGGGTCCATGGCTGGTTTCCACCCAGTATCAACCACGCAGCAGGACAGGGCATTTGATATGCACTATCCTTTTATCCTAACAACATTCTGCAGGGCTCAGTTATTAACCCATTTTACAGGGAGGGAAACTAAGGCTGAGAGAGATTAAGTAACTTGCTCAAGGCCAGTGAGCCAGGTAGAGAGATAGAGAAGGGACTCCGGAGCCCACGGTCACTCCACTTCACCCTTGTCAGCCAATGAGCAGTGCTCGTTTGCAAGCTCGTTTGCTACCTTCGTTTGCAAGCTTCGTTAGTCTCATAGCTGATTTAGGAACATACATATCTGCCTATCCTACTTAGTCAAGTTCCTTGAGAGCAGAGACACAGACTCATCCTCCCCCAGTGCTCTGCAGAGTGAGGGCTCAGTAAATGTTTACTACACAAAGGCAGAAGTTCAGTTCCCTTTATCATTGTTTCAGGGCTGGGGTGGGAGGGTAGGGTCAGTCGATCGCCCCACATAATAACTGTGGGGATACTAGACTCTCTGGAGCAGAGGAGCCAAATGTCAGAGTGCCCACCTCTGGTAACCACTCCCCTCAGTCCGACTTTCAACACATCCCCACCCCAGGGTCACTCTCATGCTTCCAAAAGTCATCAGTTGGAAAGTTCTAGGGTTCTCTCACGCCACATCAGTTCTCCTCCATTTTCAAAAGGAGCAGAAGGTGGTCCAGAGAGATTATGAGATGCGTTCGTTAGAGCCAGAGCCAGAATTAGAACTGACACTTAATCCCTCTTGAACCTGGAAAGAGCAACTTAATTTATTTCTAAATAGCTTGGGTACTCTGAAATTGAAATTAATTTGGGGGGGCATTTTTCAAATCAATAAAAATTTCAGAGTATTAAGCACCTTAAATCTGTAAGAATCGAACAATATACAATAATAAAAATTACATTAGCCGTTTTAATGCTTGCAGTTAAACACAGTAATAACTTAGAAAAAGCAAGGGTTGTCAGCACAGCAAGCAAAATTGGTCAAGCCTATGGGTGGAGCTTCTTTTACAAGCCTCCCACTCCTAGGACGGACTCTGGTCTTTCTCTACAGTAAACAGTTCTGAGACTAAATTCAAAGGAGTTGGCCTAATCTGTGAAATGCTTATCCTATTTTTAATGAGATGACAAACCAAAGAAATATGTGTATTCACAAATTCTTGCCCATCATACATTCCTGGCAGTCTACTGCGATGTCCCCCATACCTCGTTTAACCAAGGCCTTGACATCAAGGCACGACATTGAGATGTAAAAAGCCATAGTCTCTCTGGATTTCAAATGGGAAGCGGCAACCAGAATTGATGTCAAGCATCAAACCAAAACATATTTGCCACAGTTCAAATGAAAATCCCACACAAGCATGCTACGAGTATAAACCTGTTCCCTGCAGGCAATGGAAGCGTCTACAGCATACCACTCAGCAAGGAGAAAAAAGTTAGGGTGCCACTGCAACATGGCTGTTGTCCAGCAAGTAGGATATTTCTTCCTGACAGTGGAACAAAACTATTTGTGAACAGGGGAGGTGACTACTTACTGGTAACCATTTTCCAATGTCCCCTGTGTGTAACCAGCCATCTTTATCCAGAACTTCTGCTGTTTTTGCTGGGTCCTTCAAGTAGCCTTGAAACACAGTTGGCCCTTTCACACATATCTGAACAAGAAAAGATTGGGGGTGGGAATTGGGTGAAGGCAGTCAAAAGACAAAAACTTCCAGTTACAAGATAAGTAAGTACCAGGGATGTAATGTACAGCATGATGACTAGAGTTGACACGGCTGTATGGTATATTTGAAAGTTGTTAAGAGAGGAGATCCTAAGAGTTCTCATTACAAGGAATAAAGCCATTTCTTCCTTTTTTTTGTATCCATGAGAGATGATGGATGTGAAGTAAACTCATCGTGGTAATCACTTCACAATATATATAAAGTCAAACCATTATGTTGTACACCTTAAACTTATACAGTGCTGTGTGTTAATTATATCTCCACGAAACTGGGCAAAAAGAAAGATGATTGGTTAATAGCATTTACTGGGGCTTCTCCAGAGAAAAGTGTGTGTGTGTCCCAATCTTTAGCTAGAAGCCCTGAATTCCAGGATCCAGAAGGAGCTACCACAGCCCCACCGCGATCTTGGCGGTACCTCCAATGTCCCTGCTTCCCTTTCTTAATGACCTCAGCTGCAGTCAAGTTCTAGGGCTAATGCTCGTTCTAAGTTCTGGCTCAAAGCTGCTAGAAAGCCCCACAGGGGATGAAATCACTTTGTAGTAATTAGGCTCTCCTTCCTCTGGCCAGTAGCTTACTAATATGGATCCAGGGTAATTAGCAGATGGAGCCGTGCCCCAGCACAGGCCACTGGAGCCTTTGCACGCTCTTGGGCCCAAGTTCCGATAACGTCTGGCAGAAGAAGGCAAGTGTTAGTGGCCCCCCTCCCCAGTACCCCTGGAGAATTAAAACATAAATGTATCTTCAAAAAGAAGCCTGTTTGACTCCAGGATCACCAATAACACCAAGCTCAATGGCTTTCCATGACACTGTGCTGAGAAATGACACTGCCCTCATCACGGCAGCCATTAGAGGAAATGACAATGAGGGTGAATGACTGATGGATGCCACTCACCTCACCCTCGCCCTTGGCAGCCAGGTAATTCATTTCTTCCACATCCACAAGTTTTATAATACAGCAAGGCATTGGGGCACCAACGTGGCCTGTGTATCAAATAAAAGAAGGATCATTCCTAAGGCGACTACTAAAATCCTTAGGCCAAATTATTTTTATAACAAACAAGCCTGCTCATCATAAGAACAGCTGGTGTAAACTTCTGGTTTCTGCAATTTTAGCCGCTCTCCCCCTGGTAAATTAATCTAGAGAGTTTATTCTAGAATAGAGACAAAAACATTCAAAAGTCTCTTAGGGACCTTTCTCAAGTGTGAGGCTCTGAATTACTTTTCAAAGTATAAATAATTTGGCTGCTGATTTTAAGGGTTTCTACAAATACCTGGAAGCAAGCTTTCTAAAACTTCTACCTGGCCTCTATGATCTGATGACCCCTGCCCATCATTTGTCCCCCCTCCCTCATACAGACTTCTTAACGTCCCTACTCTCTATAAGGAGAAAGAACATATGCCACTTTGGCAAACCTTGATTATTCTCTCACACACCACTGGTTCCGATCGATATCACATTTACTTCCTTAATATGAATGTACATATTTTATACTTAGGTTTATTAAGACAGAAGGGTGCTTCTTTTCACAGCTAACTTATCTGTCTTGCCAAAGGGCATTAGGATTGGGTTCTTTTCCCAAAACAAAAATCACAGAAATTAGATATGTTTCTAGAATGTCACAAATAATTCTTCCTATGTTTTAATAATTTTAGCTTAAAGAGATCACTATTCCAAATTCTCTAGCTGGTAAGGAACCAAGGATTAAAAATTAAATAAACAGGGCCCGCCTGGTGGCGTAGCAGTTAAGTGCTCGCGCTCTGCTGCTGGCAGCCCGGGTTCGGATCCCGGGCGCGCACCGACGCACCGCTTGTCAGGCCATGCTGTGGCAGGCGTCCCACATAAAGCGGAGGAAGATGGGCACGGATGATAGCCCAGGGCCAGTCTTCCTCAACAACCAAAAAAAAAAGAGGAGGATTGGCATGGATGTTAGCTCAGGGCTGATCTTCCTCACAAAAAAAAAAAAAGAAAAATTAAATAAACATCACGAAAAAGGTTCATATGCTGTTAGTGCCAATCTCAGCAGAATTATGCTACTAGATAGTGCCAGCTAATAGAATCTACTTTATCACATAGTACTCATATTTATAATACACCAAATAAGTCTAGGAATTTATTTATCACAGTGTGGAATACACTACCAGTGTGGATAGGGGAAAGCACAGAGGTTCTGCAGTCAGACCTAGGTTGGAATCCTGGCCCCTAAGCATAATGCTATGTAAATTCTTACACATTATTTACATGCTTTTTAACCAACAATCAATCATTTCCTCTCGGAGGTAACAGGACTTATCTCACAGGGATGCTGTTGGGATGAAACGCACATAATGTGCATCGTAAGCACCTAACACAGAACCTCATCCACGACAGGTGCTCAATAATTATTCTGGTGTTTGTCCTCCTTTTTTTCCTTTTGGGAAAAAGGACTTGTGTTTACTTCTTTCTGTAGTCTCAACACCTAGCACAGCACACAGTGTAAATTTAATTAAAATTTACCAGCAAATAACTAGACCCCAATCAATAACTGGAAAGCTCTGATAAAGGGCATCATCCTCAGATGTCACCCTCAGGATCTAGGTAAGTCCCCAGTGCCACCCAGCTTTACAGTCAGAGCCTCAAAATTACACGCCACTCTGCCCCAGGAGACATGTTCCTCAGGGCTCCCTGATTTACAAGATTGCTTGCCCCAAGGCCTAATCACTTGAGACGTAGCACTTGTTTAAGTTGATTAATGACCGAATCAATGATTAACCCAATTCCAACAATGAGCTTCCAATAAGGCGTCCCACCAATCGTACCTGCTGTCCAGTCTCCAGGCACAGTCAGACAGCACCCGGCTGTGCACTCGGTCTGTCCATAGCCTTCGTAAAACTGGGTCACCAAGAGATGAAACATTATCAGAGGGGGGGGCAGTTACCCTTTTGCTGGAAGTGCACAGGTAACTAAGTTGCTCTAATTCCTGAATAATGGCTGACTATGGTGAAACCTCTTTTCAAATTTTCCCTTTGGTAAATTCGTTCAATACTACAACAGGCTTTATTACAGCACCCAAACATCTTCACCCCCACACCAAACACGAGCAGCCATCCATGTTCATTTCCTACTTAACTTCTTGCGGACAGGCGAGGGAGAACATCGATGTGGCATGACAGGTCACCCACACACGACCTGCCCAGGAATGCACTTGCTCTGTCAGCTCCTGGCTCTACCCCACATGTCCCATTTGTCACTCAGTCTCTGCTGCCTCCCCTGCCCCCTCTGAAACAGGTTTGCTTATCACTTACGACCCATTCCCGTACCCTCATGCCTGACTCTACAGCCTGTTTTGTGCCTTACCCTAGATTAAACTACATAATGCTGGACACCAACACATATTCTCCTGCCTAGGGTCAAAGATATCTATATACTTCTTTCTCCAAACAACTATGAGTAATATGATCTTCCAAACAAAAATAAAATACACAAGGAGAGTAAGAATGACTTTTTTTTTTTTTCTTGTGAGGAAGATCAGCCCTGAGCTAACATCTGATGCCAATCCTCCTCTTTTTTGCTGAGGAAGATTGGCCCTGGGCTAAAATCCATGCCCATCTTCCTCTACTTTATATGGGACGCCACCACAGTGTGGCTTGACAAGTGGTGCATCGGTCCCCGCCCGGGATCCGAACCTGCGAACCCCGGGCCGCCGCAGCGGAGCGCATGCACTTAACCGCTGCGCCACCGGGCAGCCTCAAGAATGACTTTTGGAAAGAAGATTCTTGGGCCTGACAAAGTCTGAGACGATGAACTCAATGGAACCCACTCACCTGACAGCCGAGCGCTGCCCTCAGGAACGTCAGCACGGTGGCAGACACAGGCGCGGCTCCCGTGACCATCAACCTGACTTTTCCTCCCAGGCTCGACTTAAAGGCAGGGAGAGGGGAGAGAACAAGAGTCAAATGGCTGGAAGTAGGCGGGCTCCGCCAAGATACCCACTTGACACCCTGCGTCCTGACCCACCAGCTCCTTCTCTGCAGGCTGCACAAAGCTCGCCAACGCCCGGGGAACTCAAAGGCGTTCATAAGAGGAACACCTGACACTATTCCATTCACTCTCACAGGTATGGAAATAAGCCAACACCTCTGCCTGCAGGGATTTTAAGGAATTAGAACAAGCGTGTAGTGGATTTGTGGCCACTACCACACTTTTGGCATTTTTTTAGACATAATATTATTCCACATACTTGATCACTCACGCCTGAAAAATTCTCTCAAGAGTGACGTACTTTTTCCAGAAAGCGAAACGAAATGTAGAATTAGAAAGGCTATGATATGCTGATTCCTTTTCTGCCCTAGAGAGCTACAATATTGCTCAGATTTATCTTGGATCCTGAGGTTTAGCTAATGGCTTTGTCCTTAATTTTTAGAAATGTGCCCGAATTAATTAAAATGTGTCGTTCTCTCTCTCACCTTCGTACCTCTCTTTAAGGAAGAGCCCCCACAGAAATTTTGAAACTCAAATTATTTAAATGATAAGTAACAGTTGTGAGTCTATTTGTCACCTGTATTTTGTGGAAGATGAGTTTATCCCACAGGCTGTTGTTTCTAATGATGCAACTGCGAAGCTCTGCTTCTTTCCTCTTGGAGGCAAAGTCCAATAGCCACCGCTTCAGTGTGGTGTTTGCCTGCCCAAAGATCTAACGAGTCAAGAAATAAGAATATTTCACAATCACTAGGATGACTAGAATCAACAAGTCAGATAACAAGTGTTGGTGAAGATGTGGAGAAATTGGGACCCTCACCCAGTGTTGGTGGGAATGTAATACGGTACAGCTTTAGAAAACAGACTGACAGTTCCTCAAACAGTTAAACACAGAGTTATCATATGAGCCAGCAATTCCACTCCTAGGTACACACCCAAGAGAAATGAAAATATATGTCCACACAGAAACTCATATACATATGTTCACAGCAGCAGCATTATTCATAATAGCCAAAAAGTGGAAACAACCCAAATGCCCATCGATGGATGAATGGATAAATTAAATGTTTTATATCCACACAGTGGAATATTATTTGGCCATTAAAAGGCATGAAGCACTGATATAGGCTACAACACGGATGAACCTTGAAAACATGCTAAGTGAAAGAATCCAGTCACAAAAGATCACATATTGCATGATTCCATTCATATAAAAGTCCAGAATAGGGAAATCTATAGATTCAGAAAGTAGATTAGTTTTTGCTTAGGGGTGGAGATGGGTGGCAGGGTGGAGGATGACAGCTAAAGGGTAGGTACAGGGTTTCCTTTTTTTTTTAGCTTGGGGAAGATTAGCCCTGAGCTAACATCTGTGCCAATATTCCTCTACTTTATATGTAGGTTGCTGCCACAGCATGGCTGACAAGTGGTGTAGGTCCACACCCGAGATCCAAACCCGTGAACCCAGGCCAAAGTGGAGCACGCCAAACTTAGCAACTACGCCATGGGGCCAGCCCCCAGCGTTTCTTTTTGAGGTAATAAAAACATTCTAAAGTGGACTATGGTGATGGTTGCAGAACTCTGTGAATGTACTAAAAACTTTTGAATTGTACACTTTAAATGTGTGAATTGTATAGTATATGAATTATATCTCAAGAAAGCTGTTTAAAAAAGATTTTTTAAAACAACCATTAAAAAACGAGAAGGTTCTCATAGATGACAGAGCCCTGCCTCAAAATAAAGAGCATTAAAACTGCCCAGTCCTAACTCATTTTGGAGACAGCCCACGCCACACACCAATCTCGCCCTGGCTGTGTGGTCCATGCTGTAACTGCCCACCATAGAGGACTAGCCTCCTCTCAGTTCCTGGCTTGGCTTAGTCACTTCTCTTAATGCGGCTAAGTAAGTAATATTTTACATGTACATGGAGCTTTCCAATTTACAAAACCATTTTTTATAATTTAAAAAAAAATTTATAAAACCATTTCATAGTTATTATTTTCATGTGATGCAGTTAAGAACTTTATACGATAGACAGCAGGGGGAGGAGGTAACAGTCCGTTGTATAGATCAGAAAACAGAAGCTCAAAGAGTTTATTGTACAAAGGAAACGACTTCCCACCTTACACTTGTATTGTGCCTTCCAGTTTATAAAGTGTTGCATGTGTGTTTTCTCTTATCATCCTTACCAACAGCTCTGTGAGGTAAATGTATTCTAGGTTTACAGATGAGTAAACTGCAGTTGTGGGAGAGCAAGAGGACTGTCCGTGGTCACACAGAAGGTACCCAGCCAAGCCCAATTCAAACTCAAGTTTCGGAACCAAGGGCCAGCACTCTGTCCCTGGCTCTGTGCTTGAACTTACTCGGTCAAACATCCGGTTCAGCAGTCTTGGAACCACAGGAAAGATAGTGGGTTGAAGCGCCTTGAGGTCATCCATAAGCAGCCTGATATCTCCTTGGAAAAACCCTATTTTAGCTCCATGACACAGCATTACACACTAGAGAGGTAAACAGAGGTCACCAACATTTTATCATTGCAGCAGGGCTTACACAACAGACACGTAGACACACAAGGCTTCAGTTTTAGCATTTCAGACCAGTTTCCAGAAATCTTAAAGTTCCTAAATGTAGGGAGCTTTTAAAAAAATGTTCTTGCAGTCTCCAGTCATTGTACTACATGAAATGTGGTATTTCTCTTGATCATCCTGAAGATAAAGGAGCTAGTAAGAAACCAGGGTATGTTGTTTTGGATGATCACAGAGGTTCTGCTAGTTTAGCTTCATGATAAACATCTGTTGAATGAATGACACGGTATTGTATAACCCAAATATTTTTAGTCTTCCAGAAACTTTACGTCTAATTTACTCTCAAAACAAAAACTTGGCTACCTGCCTGTAGTCCAAGCTTATTAAAGTCTCATTTTCTTGTATTTGAATCTAACTAAAAATTTCTGAAAAGCCACTGAATATGTTGCAGTTGAGACATGAGGACATCTAATACCAGAGTGGCTTGCCATTCAGCTATAACCTATTGCATGAATTTTTTCCGGTCTGATGCAAATTGCACTGGCAAGCCATATGCACTTGACAAATAGTCTGCCTATTTTAAATTTTAAAAAGAAAAAGAGATTCAAAAAGCAATGCAATGGAAGTACCAACAATTCCAGGCTTGCAAGCAGAAACCATGAGAAAGATACACCATGGTTCATTGTTTAAAAATTAACGTTCAGGAGGTTTTTGTTCAGTGGGGCCTGCCTCCCAGGCAGACTTCTAAAACTACAGTTAGGTACGTATGGTCCACCATCAACTTATTTGAGATCACTTTATAAACTCACAAGATCTCCTGAGGTGTGCAAGAAGCAGAAGTAACAGATGGAGGATGGGATCCAATGATCCTCGATCCTTTAGGGGTAAGCCAATCCTACAGCGCAGTGGCCAAAGGGTCAGCTCTCTATCAGTCACCTCGCTGTGACCAAGCCCTAGCATAGTGCCTTGTGTACGGCTGATGCTCAACAAATGTTTGTTAAATGAATGAAGGGTGCCCACTGTTTTTCCTATAAGGATACAATCCAAAATTGTCCAAGAAGAAAAAAGATTGTTCTCGGCTAGTTTTTAAATTAGTCACACAGTTGTGTACAGGGAGCCCGGGCAAAGGTCAGCTAAAGATCATCCTGCTTTTCCAAGGACACTCAGAAGATTGGTGAAAAAATGAGTCTTAAACCAACTTGTGCATTATGAACAAGCACAGTAAAAAACAGAGGCTTCTCACAGAGGCAGAAGCCTCATGAGGCTTTATATGATGGTCTTCATAAAAATTCTACTTTTACGGTTAATCTTCCTGGAACTATGTCCATACTTGTATCCTTCAAAAGTTTGAGCTCCTAATTTTTTTTTTTTTTTTGTGAGGAAGATCAGCCCTGAGCTAACATCTGATGCCAATCCTCCTCTTTTTTGCTGAGGAAGACTGGCCCTGGGCTAACATCCGTGCCCGCCTTCCTCTACTTTATATGGGACACCACCACAGCATGGCTCGACAAGCGGTGCGTCGGTGCGCGCCCGGGATCCGAACCATCGAACCCCGGGCCGCCGCAGCGGACTGCGCGCACTTAACCGCTTGCACCACCAGAGCTTCTAATTTTAAAGTGAATGATTAACGTTCAAGTATCCAGACCCAGAAAAAAAATTTATCCTCTTTTAAATAATTTGTCCCGTGCCTAAAACAGGGATGAGCAAAGCATTATCTACGGGATGACAGTCTGTACATGAAACTTACCTGCAGGAGCTGCTCATACATGTGTGCAAGCGGTAAAAACGAAATGTGTGTGTCACTGGCCTTCAAGGTCATCACTTTCTGTAAAACACAATGACGCGGCAGAACACAAACAAGAAAAATAAAACTCAACGCCTACCTCGACGACTCTCTCAAACATATGGGCGAGAGGCAAGAAAGATATCAAAGTGTCATCTGGGGAAGGCATGAAGGCAGTCTGTAAGCAAAGAACCAGCAAGGCAGAAAAGCATTAAGATTACCAGTAATTTCCCATTTTATTTTAGAGCATATAATACCTCAACACTAAGAAGAAAAAGATTTGCTTATGATCTGCAATTATTTCTCACCAAGGAATGAAATGAAAAGTCATACTTTAATTATTCAAATAGAGTGGAAGTCATTTTGAATGACAAAGGAAATCCATTCAAGACTTTAGTCAAAATAATAAAAATTTTGGGGGCCAGCCCAGGGGCTGAGTGGTTAAAGTTCCATGCCTTCACACTATGGTGGCCTGGGTTCATGCGTTCGGATCCCCGGTGCGGAACTACTCCACTTGTCAGCCATGCTGTGGAGGTGTCCCACATACAAAGTAGAGGAAGACTGGTACGGCTGTTAGTGCAGGGCTAGTCTTCCTAAAGCGAAAAAAGAAGAAGATTGGCAGTGGATGTTAGCTCAGGGCTAATCTTCCTCACCAAAAAAAATAAGAAGAATTTTGCCCAGGGTCTGGCCTGGTCGCATAGTGGTTAAGTTCAGCGCACTCAGCTTCAGCGGCCTGGGTTCACAGGTTCAGATCCTGGACACGGCCCTGCACCATTCATCAAGCCATGCTGTGGCAGCAACTCACATACAAAATAGAGGAAAACTGGCACAGATGTTAGCTCAGGGCCAATCTTCCTCAAGCAAAAAGAGGGGCATTAGCAACAGATGGTAGCTCAGGGCCAATCATCCTCACCAAATAAAGAAATAATAAAAATTTTGCCCAAATTGGGAGGTTAAGGGATCATATGCTCTAATAATTTAGTGTTTCTCTTATCTCAAGCAAGCTCCAATTTCACCTTAAGGTAAGAAATATAAGACTCATTCCAACATAAGAAAGCATATTATGTTATAAAAGGAAAGTTAGACAGAGGATAAGAGAAACTGGATTTCTAAGCTCCTTCTATCTATGGTATAAGCACATTTTGAGTATCGTATTTTGATCAACACCTTTACCTTAAAGCTCTACTTTACCCCACGATAAATATCCCAATTTGCTTAACGCAAGCTCTAATCTGGCACCAGGGGATTTGTTCTCCTATGAAATGCTGATCATGATAGGCCTGCATCTAGATTAAGGTTGGACATCTGGTTTCCATTCCATGGCTACAAACGGGCTTTATGTAGGGTCAGGCGAGTGAGGCTTTGCCTGGAATGTTCACGTTATTAATACAAAGCATTCTGGCCAAAACCAGGGCTGCCAACAGCAGCCGCTGCCACACAGACACAGAAATGAAGGTGCTGTCCAGCTGCCTCAGGGGGCACGCACCCACTTCTGAGCCATGCCCATCCCTTCCCCAAAGCTGGGCCATCCTTCCTAATACTGTGATAACAGGTGAAAGTCCTGAGCAAACACAGTAGCCCCAGAAGCATGTGAGGTAGCCTGAACACGCTGTAATCTCAGATTAATCTTATTCAAGTGTGATCTGCATCCAAACTAGTTTCCTACTTCTCAGTAGGAAACTGTTAACGTCGTGAGAAACAGACTCAGTAATATCCATACTTTTCAATTTTCTGATTTAGTACCAAAAATAATGTGCATTAGCATGATTAAAAGTTTTACAAAGTTGCAAATGCCCCTGATAATTAATTTTCAACATAGTTTTGTAATTGTTTGCCTCAGTGTGGTGCTAATGCATTTGAAGTTTTCTGTGAAGGCCAATTAGTGAATTAAAATTTCGCTTTGCTACTAAATGTTGAATTCTGTTTAGAAAGTATATACCAAAATAGGTATTTGGCACTAAGAAAGGGTGAGTATAAGTAAAAGTGAGATTGACCTTCTGCAGCCACCAAAGATGCCGAGTCTCTAAAACCATTAAGCAGAGGCTCCTGCCACAAAAATTAGGGCCTATAGAATCCCTCCAGAGACTACAAAAGCAAATTATGTAAAATGTACAAAGGGTATGAGGGAAAGGCTTTATATTGTTCAATAAGTACCTTTTTAAAGGGCAAGTTTGAAATATACCCTTGGTGTTATGGATTGAATTATGTCGCCCTCAAAATTCATATGTTGAAGCCTTAACCCAATGTGTCTGTATTTGGAGACAGGGCCTTTAGGGAGGTTATTAAAATTCAATCATGTCATAAGGGTGGGGCCCTGATCCACTAGGGCTGGTGTCCGTGTAAGAAGAGGAAGAGACACCAGAAGCCTCTCTCTCATTCTCCATGTGCACACAGAGCGAAGGCCATGTGAGGCATAGTGAGAAGGCAGCTGTCTACAAGCCAGGAAGAGAGCCCTCACCAGAAAATGAATTTGCCGGCCCCTTGATCATGGACTTCTAGCCTCCAGAACTGTGAGAAAATAAATGTCTGTTGCTTAAGCCACTCAGTCTGTGTTATTTTGTTTTGGTAACCTAAGCAGACTAAGACACGTGGATAGCAAACTTAAAGATTACAGGAAATCCACGGAAGTTCAAGACCTTAATCCTCATAAAATGGAAGTCAAATCGACCATAAAAAATAATAATAATTCAAAAACCTTCAGCAGCATTTAATATTTCATTGTTATCTTAAAGAAATTATTTTTCCCACACTGGAACAGTATTTTGTAAAAGCACAGAGAGTCATTTCTTCTGTTTTTTCCTGGAAACATTTATAGGGTGGTATCCAAATATACTTTTACTATATAAAAGTTATTTTATAATATTATATTAATATATTAAATATATAATATTTAAAATAAAATATTATTTTTAAAAAATTCTGTCAATTCACCTTAATGGTCATAGGCAAGAGAGATTAGTCCACAATGAAAACTATTTGAGAGAAGCTGATCTTAGATTGCATAAAAGTTCAGACTTTATCTATATCTCAGGAAGTGTTCCAAATACAGCATGGACCTAAGGCTGCCTTTAGCACTTTCATTCTTGAGGCCTAATGCTAGCCAATAAATATGAAGAAAAATGACAATATCCCAAAAGTTTACCTCTGTCATTTTCACAAAACCTGAACAGTCGCTCACTACATTTCGATGAGTGATCATTGCTCCTTTGGGGTAGCCTGAGGAACACACATGAGCGGAACAAAGTTAGAGGACATCTAAGAGTGACAGAAACTAGCAAAGCCCAGAAACCCGGTATAATTAGGGCCTCAAATGCCTCCCACGTTAGGTACACCCATGAATGCCAAACGTTGAGTAACAGTAAATTCCTGAGCAACCTGCAATCCTTTAAATGAAACCTATTATCTTAAACAATCTGTTTTAACATGGGCAAGTTTTAGAGTATGTGTGTGTAGCAATAAGAGAAGAAAAACCAGGAATTTTATTTCTGGAAACCACTGATATAGTTTGCCCCAGGAAGATGGATGAATCCACCGTTGCCTTCAATAAATGTTTGAGGAAATACATGGCACTCTCAGATTCTGAGAATGTCTTATAGAGTGACAAGAAGACAGCGCTTGAACCATTTCTGTCTCTTCTGCTCTCTGTCCATCTATGGTTCAAATAAGTCAACCAAAAAGGGGCAGGGAGTATACACTTCCAGATACCACTTAGAAGCTATTCCATTTCAAAACTTACCTGTAGTTCCACTTGTGAAACAGATTACCGCAAGATCTTCAGGGGCTGGAGGCTACAGCACATTAAAAAAAAGACGGTATAAATCAGAATAGAAAACAAAACTCTAAGCCATCAGACATCACCTAAGATTTCTATTTGTCTCCGAAATGACTAGATACTGGAAACTACACAGAGGGCTGGGGCAGGGTCTGACACAGTATTCTTACCTTGGGCTTCTGTCTGTTGGCTCTTCCCAAGTCCTTAATTAGAAGAGAAAAAAGTCTCAAATGAAAAAATTTTCTAAATGTAAAGAGTAAGGTCACATCAAGTCACTTCAAGCTGACTTTACTGTGGGATTCACTCATAGCTCAAAGACAACATAAATTTCAAATTAAATAAACTATGGCAATTATAATTAACCTGAACCGAAATATTTATCCATTGTTCTAAGAAGCCATTTTCCAGTTGTCTTCTCTCTTATATAAAACCATATAAATGGTATTAGAACTGGCCTTTGAAATAGGATTTATTCAAAAGACAGGAATCAGGGCCGGCCCTGTGGCTTAGTGGTTAAGTGCGTGCGCTCCGCTGCTGGCGGCCCGGGTTCGGATCCTGGGCGTGCACCAACGCACCACTTCTCCGGCCATGCTGAGGCTGCGTCCCACATACAGCAACTAGAAGGATGTGCAGCTATGACATA